CAGAGAAAAAGAGGAAGACCCCCAACGAGATGGATTGGCCAAGTGGCAGCATCTATGGACTCAAGCGTGGCAACAGTAGTGAGGTTGGCCCAGGATTGGGCAGTGTTTCGTTCTGCTATGTGTAAGGTCACTATGGGTCAGTACCGACTCGATGGCAGCTAACAACAACAACAAAGGAGTCCTGGTGGGATGTTGTAGAATAAGAACTGGAGTACTAACCACAAGGTTGGTGGTTCAAACCCACCAGCTGCTCCTTGTTGGCGGGGTCATCATGAGTCAGAACCAACTCAACAGCACTTAACAGCAATGACAACTAATGACCCTGAGCACGTTTTCAAGAGTCCATGGTCACTTGGATGCCCCCTCTGGTGAAATGTCGACTCAGGTTCTGTGCCCATTTTATGATGGAATGTTTTTATAAATTGCCGAAGTTTTATTATTTGCGGGTTATTGGATACTTGTCAGATACAGATATCCCCTGCCTTTTGAAAAGTTCACTTTCTGCCTCTGCTTTTATAGAAAACCTACATTCATACCTGTTTTTTGCTAACGGAAATACATCTGAAGTGGATGTTTGCTTTTATGTAAAAGGACAAAAAGTGAAACTAGCATTCAGACTTTGCTTTGCAGCATGCTGCTAAAGAGGTCATAATACGTGTCCCTTTGGGCAGTGAGCATGGCATCGCCAAGTTCCTTCCCGGGAATGGCCCCAGCGACTCAGCCCCTAGCTGCGTGGCCGTGAACTCTGAGCAGTGGATGTGTGTACTGTTTTAGGGTTACGTGTTAAGTGATTTTTTGAGTCTCAGAACACTGAGAAATTTTTACCATATAAATGAATGGCAATTGCTTTTCCTCTTTTTACCATTTTGGCTTAAGAAAGGCTTCATAAGAATGCTCTCCTTTCAGACAGCAGGGGAAATTTGAGTGTATGGTTTTTGAAGATATTCTCTTAGTAGGTAGCTTGTCTTTTCACTTTTTTTGGTGAAAGTCTTTATTTATTCATTTTCTTCTTTATTTTTAAAAATTTTAACCTTTTACTGTGATCCGGGTAAAAGCTTAAAGAGCACACTGATTTTCTATTCAACAATCCATACACATTTTCATTTGTGACATTGACTACAATCCCCACAATTCAACAGTAGTCTCTCACCTTGTCCTTGTGTTAATCATTTCCAGTCATCTTTCCTTCCTATACCTTCCTGCAGTCTGAGCTTTAACCCTGGCTGAACAATGCCTTCTGGTCTCATATGTTTGGTTGTTCCAAGGGGTACCTACCTCCTTGGTGTTACTATTCACTTTATAGGTCTATTGTTTTTAGCTGAAAGTTGAGCCACTGGGATGAAGTTGGTTCCAGGCTTGAAGGGTGACTAAGAGCCATAGTCTTGGGGAAGAGGGGGTGTTCCACCAGTCTATCAAACCAGTAAGCCTGATCTTTTTTTTTTTAATGACTTTGAGTTTTGTTCCCTACATTTCTCCCACTCTATCCAGGTCCTTGTATTGTGATCTCTTTCACAGTGGTTGGTAGTGGTAGCTGGGCCTCCTCTAGTTCTTCTGGTTTCAGCGTCATGGAGACTGCGGTTCATGTGGCCCATTAGTCCTTTAGACTAATTGTTTCCTTGTGTCTTTTTCTTCACTTTTCTTTGTTCTGGACTGGGAGAGTAGCCCCATAGATGGACACTCACAGCTTATAAGGCCGTAGTTCCTACTCACCAGAGTAGGATGGAGAACATTTTTTTATGGACTATGTTATGCCAGTTGACATTGGTGTCCCCCCAAGACCATGATTCTGAGACCCCAGATCAGTGACTTATTCCCTGAAGAGAAAGATAGGAAGGCAGGGAAGGGTATTCCTCCACCAACTGCAATTAAAACGTCTCTAGCTGCAGACATCGAAAATCAATCCCTGTGTTCTTCACAATAGCTCCAAATAAAAAGGCATTAAGTCTTCCAACTACCATCCACTTTTATACCTATTTTAGCCTGCTCATTTGGGACTTCTTTCTACTTATTCTGCTCAACCTTCTTTTAAATGTGGTCCCCAAAGAGTATAAGTGAATGGATGAGAGGGTGATAGAGTGATTCCCTATTAAACCTTCTCAGAGTCTCATAATCCACATTCCATTGGACAGTCTCGGGGTGCTGAGTCCACCAGGGCAACCAAGGCAACAGTACTTGAGAGTATCAGAGACATAACGCAAGTAAACCACAAATAAACCTACATTTATAAGGGTGTCACTGACTAATCAATGTAAATTTATTTCTGAATTATTTAAGAATCATGAAAGAGAAACATCAGCTCTCGTGTTATAGAAGCAGCAGTAAGATACAGTACACAGGAACATCATTTGGATGATAGCAAGACCAAAGTACAATAGCAAATGAAAAATAATTTTTAACTTTAAATACAAAGGTACAGCGACTTAATAGGGGATTTTGTTAATAAGAAAAATATATGTCCCATGTCTTTATTACATACTGTACAAAATAAAATATTGCACCTTTAAGTCATATAATAAATATATACAAAGTATTTTACAAATGATCTTTCTTTTAACTTAAAAACTTTGAGTAATCACATGTGACTGATGACCGAAGACTCCTGGGCTGATACAACCTCATCACTTTCCTTCCTCCCTCCCTAACCAGCAAACCCTCTACGTACAGCAGTGCTCATCCCAGTGGTGGTGAGGCTGAAGCGAGAACCAGAGAGAAGATGGCACACAGCTTCAGGAAGCTCATCCACACACAAACCCAAAGCCACAATGCATCGTTCACTTACTACTGACCAGGGACTGAGTCCAGCACGACCTGCTTCAGGTTGCCAAGCAGGCTGCAGGCAGTATGTGCATAGGCATCTGAGACGGTGATTAAAGAAGTGTGCCCATTGATTTGGCAGCATATCAAGGAAAGATCCCTATAACCAAATCAGCTTCACAACTTGCAGTTGAATGCCAGTCCTAATTTACTTCAGCAGCGTTGACTCCAAACTGAACCTCCACCCTGACTCTATCACTGACGCCAATCCAACCCCAATCCAACCCTGACCTAACCTGGCCCTAACCCTCTAACTCAGTCCACTCTAGCCTCAGCCCTAACTTAACTTCCATTTTTATCTAACCCAATCTAAGCCCTAATCCTAAAATGACAGCTAACTCCAATCCCTTTCCCCCAAATCCTAAACCAAATCCTAAACTAATCTCTATTTAGTTACTAATCTCTAGCCTAACTCTAATTCACTTCAGATTTATAGGAAAATCAGCTCTAATTAAAACATTTATTGTAAACCATTATTTTTAACTGTCATGTCATATTTTCTTTCTTAAAATTTTTCTAAAATAATACTGTTTAGGAATACTATTTGATGCATAAATTAGGTCTGATAAGACTTTTTCTGTTTGTGTGCAAGACAATAGTGCTTAGAAAAAGTTCCATTCACAGCTCTTAAAAGAAAGCTTTGAATATTACTTTAAAATCAGTAGAAAAGGTTAACTTTCTCCTTTGATTTCCATTTGATCACAGATAGATTTCCATAGCTGTGAAAATGACTGTCACATGTACTCTATGTTTTCTTCCAAGGGTGCAAGAGCACCGACCAGATGCCACCTCCCTTATCCCTCCCACCCCATGAATCATTGGATCAGTGTGTATTAAGCAAGCCTGTTCAGAGAGATGGCCCATTTTTCATAGAAGCAACGGAACCAAGCTGCTATCAAATCAATTCTGACTCATGGCAACCCCATATGTGCCAGAGGAGAACTGTGCTCAGAAGGTTGCCAATGGCTGCGACCTTCCAGATGCAGACTGCCAGACCTTACTTCTGAAGCACCTTTTGGCTCATATATGAACGCTTAACTGAACCACTTAGTGCCAACATTTTAACAAGTACTGGCCAGTGTTCCCAAATAGTAAATGTTTTATAAACCTGTTGAGACCCTAAAACTGGAGAGTGAAGGAAGTCATGGTTTGCTGTGTTTCCCTAAGTCTCTGGGATGGATGACTGTGTGTCTGGTCTATAAACCCCAGGAAAGCAGCATCGTACGGTGATGCGCTCCATGGAGATGAGCACGATGAGGACCAAGCGCAGTGGCACGCGTGCCATGGTGTTACCGCGAGTCCTGGGATGCCTGGCTTCCAAGAGTTGGGGTGGGATGGCAGGGGGAAAATGTCACTTGACAAAAGTTTAACAGTGGTGTATTTACATCAAGTTCTGTTTGATCATGGATTCAGGAATCCTTAAAGAGAGACATGGTTTTGAACCAGCTACATGGGGGAGGAAAGAGCCTTCAGGTGTTTCTTTTATTTTCACAGCAGCGTCATGACCCCACGCAAGGTTTATCCTTCTTGACATGACCGGCAGCACCTTTGTTTGTAGAGGTCTATGGGACACAGATGAAGATGCTTTACAAACAAGCAGTAGTGAGTGGTGTCTGTGCAATGTCCTGCAAAGAAAAGAAAAAGGAAATCCAAAATGTAGCACATTAGACCCCAAAAAAGCCAAAGCCAAAGCAGCTGCCACTGAGCACATTCGGACTCAAGGCAATTCCATGTGTCAGGATAGAACTCTGCTCCACAGGGTTTCAAGGACTCTGATCCTTTAGCAGTCGATTGCCAGGTCATTCTTCTGTGGTACCTTTGGGTGGACTCGAACTACCGACTTTTAGGTTAGAAACTAAGCAATTCATAGACCCAGTTTTCCAAAGTCATTTGATTTTATAAAAAACTGTAAACTGAGATCACTGAGTGAGAAGAGACGAGTCAGAGTCCACTGGTCTCACTTCTCAGAGTGGCCAAGTGACTTTTCATGGCTCTAGAGAGACCTCATACTCCTGCCAGCCCACGCAGCCATTCTCCACATCCAGAGTAGCAGTGCTTAGCTTCAACCCCTTGGAAAACGTAGGCAAGCTATGCACCTGCTAGCTACAAATATATGCATGCACATTCAATTTTACATATAATCTTAGGACATTTGCATATCTATACAAGTCCACTCATAGAACCTCTGTGTTACAGAATGAGGCTACCAGGCAAAGGGAAATCTGAGAATGATGTCTCAGTGTATAAAAAAATTATTAAAATAAAATCTCCAGGCCTGAGTGCTGAGGATGCTGGATTCTAACATAGAACATTTCAAAAGGGATGAGCCTTGAAGAACTGGGCTCTCCTGGAGCTGGTATCTCCTCCCCTGAGCTAGAGATAAAACTTACAGCTGCTGTAGGAATTTGTGTTAGAGAAAACAAACTGTTGTTGTTGTTAAGTGCTGTTGAGTTGGTTCTGACCCACAGCAGCAGGGTTTCCATGTAGTGGTGGCAGGTTTGAACCACTGACCTTGCAGTTAGCAGTTCAGTCCTTTACAGTCCTTTAAACACTTCTTGTTGTTGTCATGTGCCATTGAGTCGGAACTAACTCATAGCGACCCCATACACAGCAGAATGAAACAATGTCCGATCCTGGGCCAACCTCACTACCGCTGCCACACTTGACACCATCAATGATGCCATGTGGCTGATCCATCTCGTTGGGGGTCTTCCTCTTTTTCTTTGACCCTCCATCTTACCCAGCATGATATCCTTCTCCAGCAACTGTTCCATCCTGACAATATGCCCCAAGTATGAGAGACGGAGCTTAGCGATCCTGGCCTCCAAGGAGCACTCTGGCTGCACTTCTTCCAAAATAGATCTATTGGTTCTTTTGGCAGTCCATGGCACTTTTTTTCCCCCACAAATCAAAACACCCCTGGTCCTTGGAAGTGGATCCTAGCTTGTACTTAACCTAATCTCTCTGCAGGCATCTGTGGTGTCTCCTCGTCATCAACTTTCTACTCTACTCTTCTCTTCTGTGAAGTGTGCTTATTGGCTGTGTCTCTCCAGGGCATGAACTGGATTTGGGGTCATAAGAAAGAGCTGCCAGTGCTTGTTAGCAAGACAACAACCAATGCCACAGACCTACTACTCATTCAACTTTGTTTGCTTTGGAGAACAAGGAGATGCGTTCACATCAAAGTAGCTCAGCACCTTATGCCCCAAATGACCACGCCCATTCTGAATGGCCCCTCACATGTGACACAGAGGACAGGCACCGTCACGTCAGGGTCTGGTCTGGACAAAGCACCTGGGGTGGGGGGCTGCTACCTGAGAGGGTACTTACTGTCACAGGAAGACCCCAGGCAGTGCCGCCAGGCAGTTGGCTTCTTCTGCCGCCCACAGTGCCTCTCATCCACAGGCGTGCAGCTCCTTTTGTGCACACAGTCCACCTTCCGCACCTGGAAGCCCCTGCCACAGGATGCTGAACAGGGTCTCCACGGGCCTGCGTGCCAGCACCCGTCACAGGCCCCCGATGAGCAGTTCCTCCTAAAGGTGGGTCAGCAATGAAATCACCAGAAAAAAGGAGAGGCAAGGTGTCACATCTTGCTGGTATGGAGCCTTTCATCCTACTCTAAATTGAGTCTACTAACAGGTTTTGCAGTTAGGGTCCTAGACACAGGATACTGATGTGCACTGGCCATGGTTGGCTCTTGGCAAAGCTGAAGTGCAATCGTGATCCTAGTAGTGAGGATTAGGTCATTAACTGTGACCCTTTAGCACTCACTGTTAACTGAAAGGCTGACAGTTGGAATCCACCAGGAGCTCTGTGAGAAAAAGACCCAGTGACCCGCTTCTGTAAAGATTCCCTAGGATCAAGTTGATCCCACTGGTAGCAACCTTGCACAGGCTCTGAGGCTGCAAAGCTTTCTGGGAGCAGACAGCCTCATCTTTCTTCTGCAGAGTGTCTGATGGGTTTCAACTGCTGACCTGTGGTTAGCAGTCCAGTGCTTAGCCTAAAGTGCCACCACGGTTCCTATCCAGTACAGATAATTGTTGTTTAGTGCTGTTGAGTTGGTTTTGACTCATATTGACCCTGTATAGGGTTTCTGAGGAGTGGCTGGTGGGTTTGAACTGCTACCTTGCAGTTTAAACTGACAGGAACCCTAGGGGGCCGTTCTACTCTGTTGATGGGGTCGCTGTGAGCAAAAGTCAAATTGACAGCACCTAATAACGTAGGAGATCTGGTAGCGTAGTGGTTACAAATCGGGCTGCTAATCTCACAGTTAGCAGTTCGAAACTACCAATTGTTCTGCGGGAGAAAGATGAGGATTTCTGCTCCTGTAAAGATTTACAGCTTCGGAAACCTTGTATAGGGTCACTACGAGTCAGAACCGACTCCACAGCACATAACCACAACAACAATCCTTCATGTGGAGTCCTGGTGTGGCTCTGTGGGTTAATATGCTGGACTTCAAGGTCAGTTTGAACCACAAAGTCAGCAGTTCAAGCTCATCAGCTACTCCTCAGAAACCCTATACAGTGTTGCTATGGGTCAGAACCAACTCTACGGCACATAACAACAACAACAACAACAACAACAAAAACTGCAAAAGAAACTCACAACAGCTCTTTGTACTAACAAACCATGAGGTAGTTAATAAAATAGCAGCATGTAAGAAAAGCACCAAGATATTAAAACCTTGAAACAGAAATAGTACAGAAAATGAGAGGTAACCCTTTTTCCCTCTTCTTGTGTTAAATGATGTTAAATTGGTTCCAACCCATAGCTACCCTGTTTATGGTTTCTAAGGAGTGGCTGGTGAGTTTAAACTGTCGACCTTGTGGTTCAAACTGACTTATGTAGTCCAGAGAATTAACCCACAATGCCATACTAGGACTGTGAAATTTTCTTCTACTACTTCTTCATAAAAGCTTCTTTCCTTCCAATCCATTTCTATATCTCTGTTCCAAAACTGCACTTAATCAGCTACTGTTATTATTATTAGGTGCCACTGAGTCTATTTTGACTCAGAGAGATCCATGTGACAGAGTAGAATGGACCCTTGGGTGCTGATTGGGTTCAAGAAAATGAAACAACTAAAGCATATAAAGTAGTCCTAGTGTGGAACCAACTCGACAGCACACAACAACAACAACAACAACAAAAGTGTAGCGCTGTAGGATAAGATCCGGACAGCTAACCACCAGGTTGGTGGTTTAAACCTACCAGCCACTTCATGGAAAACTTATACAGAGTCACTATGAATAGGGGCCAATTCTGTAATATTAAACAACAAAACATATAAAAAGTAACCTGAGAAGTATAAAATAGATATGACTTTTTTATCTATTAGATTAGCAGACATTTTTTTTAGACTAAAAATCTATAGACTATGGATGAAAAAGAGTGTGTAGGGGAAGACTCTCATACACTGTTGGTATAAGCATTTTGTTGGTAATTTGGTAGGTGGCGTGGCACTGTGGGTTAATGCGCCGGACTGCAAAGCCATTTGAACTGCAAGGTCAGCAGTTTAAGCTTACCAGAAGCTCCTTGGAAACCCTATACAGGGTCACTATGGGTCGGAACTGACTCGACGGCACTTAACAACCACAACAAGCATGCCTATTTTCTTAGTTTGTTATCTAAGAATTTACTCTATAATTTACCCCATGTGCATAAAGATATATGTATGTTCCAGGGTGTTTACAGCAGCATTTATTTGCAATGACAAAAAAAATAAATAAATAAAATAAATAATCAAATGCTCATCATTTTGAGAATGATGTAATATTAAATATAACAAATGAATACACTGAGTATGTATTAAAATGGAAAAAGTTTATAACGTTGTAAAAAGAAATATCAAGGTTCAGAAAAATATGTATGGTATGTTAAAAACACCTCATCTATGTACACATTTGTGTGGGCAAGGACAGCATCCTTAGTAAAGCGGAGGGTCAGCACAAAAGAGGAAGATCCCTCAGCGAGGTGGACTGACGCAGTGGCAGCAGCGATGGGCTCAAATGTAGCGAGAACTGGGAGGCTGGCACCGGGCCAGGAAGTGTTTCTTTCTGTTGTGTATAAGGTCATGGTACGGAGTCTACGGCACCTAACAACAACAACAACAACAAACGCATCTCTAGGATGCTTCATTTCAGTTTGTGTGTGAGATCTGTTTCTCAGCAACATAGGTTAGGTCACTAGATTTTTACTGAGACTCAGGGCAGCTGTTACAAACATTTTCCCTTTGAGGAGGATGTTTCCGACTTGACATCATGTGGTGGAGACTACGGAAATGTAAACCTTAATGGAGATTCACAGTGGAAACCAAGCTGTCAAGAGGATTCCATTTCTTCAGTAGGACTCAGGATGGGGATGAGGAAGAAATAGCCACGCACTGAGCATCTTCTACAACTCAGCTAACTAAAACTTCTCAACCATAAATTCAAATGGACGATAATAACCCATTTTGCAGATTCAAAAACTAACCTCAAAAGATTAGATAGCCTAATGGAGCTCTGGTAGTGTAGTGGTTATGAATCTGGCTGCAAACCACAAGGTCAGCAGTTCGAAACTACCAGCTGTTCCGCAGGAGAAAGATGAGGCGTTCTGGTCCCGCAACGATTTACAGCCTCGGAAACCCTGTACAGGGTCGCTATGAGTTGGAACTGACTCCATGGCACACAGACACACACACCAATGGCCCTCTGGTCAGGGTGACCTTGAGGCTCTGTTGGCTGGGATAGTGGAGGCACAAGACAGAAGGGGTCTGGTCTCTAAATGACTGCATGCAGCAAGGCTCTTCCATCCCTAACCCGTCTACTCGTTGTCTTCAGTACCATCAAGTCAGTTCTAACACATAGGGTTTCCAAGGAGCGGCTGGTGAGTTTGAACCATTGATCTTTTGGTTCAAACCGAGCTTGCGGTCTAATGCATCATTCCACAGCACCACACCAAGACTCTAACCCATCTACTAGCTTTTCCCATATTTAATCAAAACAGTTTATAAACAGAAGTATAAGGCAATTTAGACAAAACACTGGGAAGAGTTACTGTGTAGGCCTACACATATTAAAAATAAGCATTATTGTAATAGTATATATAAACATATTAAAAGCAATAAAAAATTTCATCAATAGTGTTGTTATTGTTAAGTGCTGTTGAGTTGGTTCTGACTCATAGAGACCCTGTATAGGGTTTTCGAGGAGTGGCTGATGAGCTTGAACTGCTGACCTTGTGGTTCAAACGGAACTTGCGGTCTAATGCATTACCCCACAGTGCCACACCAGGACTCCAACCCATCTACTAGTTGTTCCCATATTCAATTCAAAACAGTTTATAAACAGCGGTATAAGGCAATTTAGACAAAACACTGGGAAGATTTACTGTGTAGGTCGACACATATTAAAAATATTATTGTAATATACGTAAACATATTGAGGAGCTCTGGTAGTGTAGTGGTTATGAATCGGGCTGCGAACTGCAAGGTCAGCAGTTCGAAACTACCAGCCGTTCCGCAGGAGAAAGATGAGGCTTTCTGCTCCCGTAAAGATTTACAGCCTCGGAAACCCTGTACAGGGTCACTATGAGTCGGAACCAACTCCACATAACCAACCAACCAATCAAATGTAAACATATTAGAAGGCATAGGAAATTTCATTTCATCAGTAGTACATATGACTGACTACTTCAGCTGTCTAATACTGAGCGGGACGCCCTAAGAAAGCATAATATCACAGGATTTGTCAGACATGAGAGATGGTAAGAGTGTGAAGAAATCCCTTCTCCAGGCAGGTTTGGTCTCTGTTGGAGGCAGGCAGGACAGGACAGGCCAGTACCTCTTTCTGTCTTCACAGTGAGAGTCTGGTGCCACTGAGCCGTTGTGTTGTTGGCAAGCTGTGTGCTGCAAAGGCTGCACCCTCAAGGCATGGCCCATACAACGCCCTGGATACTGGAACAAAAACATAACATGGTGTCAAACCTGTGCAGTCGCGAACACTGTGTGCACATAATGCATGTATCAGTCCACACAGGATGGCCAAAGACCACTTACAGGGGAACCAGCTGTCCGCAATGCCTCACCCCCAGGGGAATTCAGGGAGGATCGCAGTACAGCCTGGGTACCAAACACCTCTCCCTCAGAGCCAGGAAGGACTTGAAAGGACTTACTTTTCCCTTTTCTGTCTTGTCGACTCCTGCTATGGCACTGTAGGATCAGCATTGGACTGCAAACCAAAAGGTTGGCAGTTCAAACCTACCATGTACTCCTTGGAAATCCTATATAGGGTCACCTATGAGTCAGAACTGGCTTGATGGCACTTAACAACAACAACAACATCTTGTAACTTAGACTGCTTCTGAGGAAAAGGAAAGAGGGCAGGACAAGTCTTGAGTTGACAGTTGTAAGTCTGGAAATGGGAGTGCCTGTGTGGTGCAAGCAGTTAAACAAAGGTTGGAGGTTCAACTCTGCCCAGAGGTGCCTTGGAAGAAAGACTTGGCGATCTACTTCTGAAAAATCAGCCAGAGAAAACTCTGTGGACCACAGTTATACTCGGATGCACCTGATTGCACCATGAATTGGAATGGACTCAGTGGCAGCTGGCTACTGGTTAAGTCCAATAATGACAATACTTAAAATCAGAAGTGACCAACAAATTTGGGTTTTCTTCTGTGAGCAAAAAAATGGAGGTTGGTGTGCTAAGGTGACTTCAATTACAGAAAAAATAAAATAAACTGATGATTAGCTTATAACTGTTAATATAGTCACTGTTTTAGCTAGCATTACTATAACAGAAATACCCCAAGTGGTAGCTTTAACAAGCAGGAATGTAGAGTTTATGAGGCCACAAGTCCAAACTGAGTGTGTTAGTTCTAGGGTAAGTTTCTCTCTGTGTCAGCTCAGGAGTTAGGGGAGGGGTCTGCTCTCAGATAATCGTCACGTGCAGTGGCATCTCTTCCTCCAGCTCTGATTCTCTCGTTTGTCTGCTTAATCACTTTCACATCTCAAATCAGATTGAATTATAATCCACCCTATCTTAATCCTGTCCCATTAACCGAGCAAAGACAATCCATTTCCAAATGGTATTCCAACCACAGGCACAGAGGCTAAGATTTACAACATATACTTTTAGGGACACAGTTCAATCCATGACAATCACTATCAAATAGTGGGTACCAAACAAAACTTTTTCTTATGTGTTTTTAGTGTTATGCTTGAAAATGGTCTTTTTCTATATTACAGGTGTGTTGGATTATTTTTATATGTAGATCTTAAGTCAAGTGAGATTTATTTTGTATGTGTGTGTGCTTTGAGCTTGGGCTCTGAATTTATGTACTTTTCTTGCATTAGTTAACTGATTTCTCTCATGGCATTCTTCCCCCCATGTAACTGTGTTACCAAAAAGAAATAAATGAAATAACTATGTTATTGAGAAATAACACACCTGCCATATGATCCACCCATTTGAAGTGTACTGTTCAATGATTTTTAGTATATTCACAAAGTTTTTCAGCCATCATCACAATCAAGTTTGTTGTTTTTGTTGTTAAGCACAGTCGAGTTGGTTCTGATTCATAGCAACCCTGTATACAGTGTCCCAGGAGCGACAGGTGAGACTGAACCACCAACCTTGCAATTCAAACCGATCTTAGGGTCCAATGCATTATCCGACAGCGCCACACCAGGACTCCACAATCAATTCAGAACATATGATATGATAACTCACCACCCATTGCCACTGAGGTGACCTGGCTCTTAGCAGCCCTATAGGATGAGGAGAACTGTTCCATAGGGTCCCAAAGCTGTCAATCTTTACAGGACAAGACGGCCTCGTCTTTTTCCTGAGGAGTGGCTCGTGGGGGACACACTCTTCTCCCAAAACTTCTGTATTCTTCATCAGGCCCTCCCCATGCCTCCTATTCTGCTCCTCCCAGTCCTAGAAGTCACGAATCTACTTTCTCTAATAATCTAATGTTGTTGTTGTTGTTGTTGTGAAGTGCCATAGAGTCAGTTCCATCCCATAGTGACCCAGTACAGGGTTTCCAAGTAGCAGCTGGTGAGCTTGAACTATTGAAGACATTTCATACAAATAGATGCATACCAGACAGACTGTTGTTGTTACACACCATTGAGTTGGTTCCAACTCATAGTGACCCTGTATAGGGTTTCTGAGGAGTAGCTGGTGGGTTTGAACTGCCAACCTTGTGGTTCGAAGGCCAGTGCTGATCCTACAGTAACCAGCAGATATATTATATTGAGCTTATTATATTGAGCTTTACTTTATTGTACTTTGCAGATAATATGTTTTTTTTTTTTCAGGCCAGAATTCACTAAATTTTATTCATTTGATCAGTGTTTACTAAACATTCATTTAACTGTGACTCCATACATAGCTGAATCCAAATCATTTGAGGTACTTGATAAAAATGCCCATTTCTATACCCCATTCCTAAAATCACTGATTTAGATGCAGGGGACAGATAATATGTTTTTAAAAATTATTTGTACAAATTGAAATTTCATGGCAACAGGTCTTCAGGGCCATTTTTTCTCACAGCATGCATTCACTTTGTGCATTGGGTCACATTAATGGTAATTCTCACAATATCTTAAACTTTTCCATAATGCTACCACACATTTAACAGTCTATGGGACAGCATAAACCTAACTTTTATATGTACTGGGTATCCAAAAAAGTCATGTGACTCATTTTGCTGTGGTGGTCTGCATCTGAGCCTGCAATATCTCCAAGGTATGTCTGTACAAGTGCTTTTTGTAACTAGCCTCTCTCACTCAGCAGAACGTTTTTCAGGTTCATTCACACTGTAACAAGTATCACTGCTTCACTTCTTTTTTATGGCCAAATAATATTTCATTATAAGCGGAGTGGTTACGAATCGGGCTGCGAACCGCAAGGTCAGCAGTTCGAAACAAGGTCAGCCGTTCTGCAGGAGAAAGATGAGGCTTTCTGCTCCCGTAAAGATTTACAGCCTTGGAAACCCTGTACAGGGTCGCTATGAGTCGGAACCGACTCCACGGCAC